CTTTAAAAAATAATTCAATTGGTTTTTTTATAATAATTTTTTGATTTGTATTTTGTAAAATATCATCAAATAAAGTATTATTCGATTTTTATAATAAACATCTCTCTTCATTAATGACGTTGAGTAAGATGTTATTTTCTCAGTAACAAAATTGTATATTTTAGTAACCTAATATATTTTTTTAGTAACAAGAAAGATTATTTGGCGCCAATGAAATTTGTCCCACCTTCTTATGATAAATGGCGCCAAAAACCAAAAAATTTTCCCTCCTAATTTCCCCTCTCATTTTTTAGCTAATGATGAGTTGTCAATTTCTAATTGGTAATGTATGTTGGGATCACATACATTAAATGTATGTGTATCATTGTCCAATAATCATGACCAAGTGTACCTGGTCAAAATCAGGGGAATCACGACCCTTATTGCATCATGTTTGGTAAGGACATGTTTAGACTTTAGAGTTGGAAACATATTCAATTAAACCATTATCGTTATCAAGTGTTTGGTTAGAAGACTCGGGTAACAATTAAGTGTAATGGTTTCTAGTTTTCCACCCATTTGTTACCTCTCTAAAAGTAAAGGTAACACTCTTACCCTCCTCAAACAAAAATAAAGATTATTACGTTTAATTGATTCTCTTTCATGTTTAGACCAAACAAATAAAAAAGTAACTGTTAAATGATTCCTTTCCCTTACCTTACTTATTTCCATTCCATTCCATTTCCAATTTTCATACCAATCAAATGCACCCCTAAGAGTTATAACTAATACTCATTCATCACTCAATACAAAGCTTATTTGAGTTTTTTCACAAAAATTAAAGAGATTGTAAATTCTTTAAAATTAATGATTGAGAGTACATATTTGCATGTGGACCTTTAAATAAAAATAAGCTTTGCATTTTAGTTTACTCAAAAAAGAATTCAAGTTTTGTATTGTATGACAGAGGGAGTATATCTCAACTTACGTGTATTCAATGGGAGAGCCATAATTTTAACAATGGTAGGACATCTTACCATTTGAAAATCCTCTAATCAAGCCTCTAAAAGTTGCCTCCTTGAAATTTTCAATTACAAAAAAATAATAATAAAAAAAAATAAATAAGACACCACTACGTAATGTATAGCAATAATCGTGAAAGAATGTTATTAATATCAACTATCAAGATTCTAATTTATTTAACAATTGTATTTCTCAAACCTTAATTATGTGTTTATGTACACCCAAGTGTATATAAAAGGTTTTCTATCCCAATCTATTCAAGGTTTTAAACAATGACCCTTTTGAAAATAAAAATTCTTATGGATTCAAAATCACTAAACACATTCGTCATATCAAATGGCATGATCAAAATACCAATTATAAATAATAATTCGAGTATGCATATAGTATATATTCAATTAAACTAGATCGGTCTTGAAGTTTTGAAAGCGGTCTATTAAATCATTAAACACATCATCTTAACTAGAAAAGTAAGCTTGCTCAATGTGATTAAACTTTCATGGTAGGTTTTTATTTTTATTTTTTATTTTTTTAATTTTTTTTAGGTAGGGCACATGTTGCTATTGTGTGCATTAAGTACCCAATAGTGAGATACACACTTCATCACGGTATTTAAGAATAGTGAACATCACATGATATAATACACTTAAATTGGGATTGAGAGGTTGTTAGGAGTATAATCAAGTAGGCCATGAGTTTTAAATAAAAATAATAGTACAAATATTCACCATAAAAACCATCCTTTTAGTGTATTGCAACTATTGTGATATTTCCATTTTTAGAAAAGTGTTGCAATTATAAAGAAACGGATGAAGTATTATTTACAACTAAGGATGGCAGTGGATGTGAACCAGACTTAGATCCGTGGATCCTCTTATCTTACTACAAGCATAGCTTGAACTTTCTTCTATCAAATCTCAGTGTTCTTCCCCTTTCTATTTCACGCCTTCTTTCATTTTTATATTATATCCTTATTTCTCAATTTCTTCTCTTCAATTCTCTTCTTCTTTAACTTTTCTGATTTTTTTTAATCATCATACATAATTTCTCTCTCCTCAATTTTCGTTCTCCTCTATTTTTCTCTCTTTGTTTCCATTGTTAATTCCTCTGTTTTGCTTGAATTTGTTCATTGCTACTGTTTATTTCCATGGATTTAATTTCTAGATCTAAAGTTCTCGACAATGCAATTTCCATGGGATTAATTCCTGTATTGATTTCTTATTTCAATTGCTAATTTTAGCTGATTATGTTTTTGTTGTTAATGCTATTTTTTATTTTACATTTGCTATAGATTCTATTAATGTTTTTGAGCAATTGTTGATTCGAACTCATCGTATAATTATTCGATTTAATTATTTGTAATTTCATATAATTCAATTGGTTAAGTTACTGAAATTTGAGATTAGATTTTGATTTTTCATTGTATTTTTATTAATTTGCGATGTACTATAGATGCATTATGTTTAAGTTTAATATGATTTTGATGGCGTAATTATAAGATTTAATTATTTGTAATTTCATATAATTTAATTGACTAATTGATGAACTAATCAAACGATTATCAATTTTAAATAAGCTGTTGGAATTTGTAATGAGATTTTGATTTCTCATTCTATTTTATTAATTTGTGATAAATTTGATCACTTGTTGATTAAACTATCATGAATTTTGTTTTATAGGATTCCGAACATTCGGTTCATATGATTTCTGAACTTGATTTTGATATTTGATTATAATTTCTTATTTTTTCCCGTATTTAAACTTTGTTGTTTTATTTTTGAACTTCAGTAATTGTTATTATGAACTGTGTTTGTTTATTGTAGTTAGAACGTATGAAGTTGTTTACAAGGAAAGTTTGAAAGTTGAGCAGCATTCTGAGCAGTGTCTTCAAGTGCAGAAGTTTTTGAATGATGTTCAGTGGTTTGTGGTTGGGGTTCAGAAGTTTTTGTAGGGGTTCGAATGTTTTTGTAGGGTGTTCAAGGTTTATAGTTGGGGTTCAGAAGTTTTTATAAGGGATTCAAAGCTTTTTGTAGGGTGTTTAGAGGTTTGTGATTGGGGTAATATTTTGTAGGTGTTTAGTGGTTTGTGGTTGGGGTTTAAAAGTTTTTGTAGGGTGTTTAGTGGTTTATAGTTGGGGTTCAAAAGTTTTTGTAGGGGGTTCAGAGGTTTTTGTAGGGTGTTCTGTGTTTTGTGGTTGGGGTTCAGAAGTTTCTATAAGGGATTCAGAGGTTTTTGTAGGGTGTTTAGTGGTTTGTGGTTGGGGTTCAGGATATTTTGTATGGTGTTCAGTGGTTTGTGGTTGGGGTTCAGATGTTTTTGTAGGGTGTTTAGTGGTTTGTAGTTGGGGTTCAAAAGTTTTTGTAGGGGGTTCAGAGGTTTTTGTAGGGTGTTCAGTGGTTTGTGGTTGGGGCTCAGAAGTTTTTGTAGGGGGTTCAGAGGTTTTTGTAGGGTGTTCAGTGGTTTGTGGTTGGGGTTCAGAAGTTTTTGTAGGGGGTTCAGAGGTTTTTGTAGGGTGTTCAGTGGTTTGTGGTTGGGGTTCAGAAGTTTTTGTAGGGGGTTCAGAGGTTTTTGTAGGATGTTCAGTGGTTTGTGGTTAGAAAATTTTGTAGATGGTTTAGAGGTTTTTGTAGGGTATTTAGTGGTTCGTGGTTGGGTTTCAGAAGTTTTCGTAGAGGGTTCAGAGGTTTTTGTAGGGTGTTCAGTGGCTCATAGTTGGGGTTCAGAAGTGTTTGTAGGGTGTTCAGTGGTTTGTGGTTGGTTTTCAGAAGTTTTTGTAGGGGGTTGAGGGGTTTTGGTAGGGTGTTCAATGGTTTGTGGTTGGGGTTCAAAGGTTTTTAAAGGTGGTTAAAATGTTTTTGAAGGGTGTTTAGTGGTTTTTTAATTGAAATTCTGAAGTTTTTGTAGGTGGTCAGATCACAAGTTTTTGAAGGTAGTTAAAATGTTTTTGAAGGGTGTTCAGTGGTTTGTAATTGGAGTTCAGAAGTTTTTGTAGGGGTTTAGAGGTTTTTGAGGTTGGTTTAGTGTTTTTGGTGGCTTATCAGAAAATTCTAGGGGTTTATCAGAAGTTTATGGGGGCTTTTGTGTTGCTTTTGGTGTCTTATCAGAAGTTTCTGGGAGATGTTCAGAAGTTTCTTGAAGGTGTTCAGAAGTTTCTTGAAGGTGTTCAGTAATTGGTCTATAATTAAATATTAAACAACAAAAGAAGGAAATACACAACATCTAAATAAATTATTATTTTATACCAAAATACTTGATAAAATTTATACACAAATTATTACTTCATACAACACATATATATGGACATAAAAGGCAACGTATATGAACATCAAACAAGAAATATATTAACAAAATATGAATGTAATGGATATGGACGATTAGCATCATATTTGCTAATTTTATTGCACAATTCACCAAAATTAGTCAAAAAGCTCCAAAAAAAAAAAAAAAAAAAACAAATCTTCATTTATTATTTTTTTTAACAAAATACAAGAAAGTTTATATTAAAGTGGATAGAGAAAGTAGAGTTTTCCCAATGTTGAAATCTTTAGAGCTTGAGTAGTAATTTAGAGGTAAAAAAAAAATGGGAGAATCAAAATTGTTAATGAGGGAAGCAAAAATAATTTTTTTTAAAAAAAGAAAAAAAAAAGAGGAGAGAGAAAAATAAAAAATAGTTGTTGAAAGTTTTAATTTAGGTTTTTAAAGAATTTAGAGGTACAAAAAGAGAATAACAAAATTGAATGGTGAAAACAAAAAAAATTGATGGGCTTCTTTATGTTGGGCGCATGCTTTTTCTAATGGACACAGACTCGCTGGGCTGGGCGGCGGATTGGGCTAGGTGCACCTATTTCTAGGTGCACCATGGTGCATGTAATACTAATTACCTTTGTGTGACCTTATAGGATCCGTCCAATTAGGCTTTGACCTATTTTACTAGCCCAAAAATCGTTAGTACCTCTAGGTATGATATAACGACGACCCAAATGTACGATTTTAATTATCTCCATAATTTGATCCATTTATATATCTAGTAATTGCACATGACGAAGACATAATACCTTCAAGTGGGTCTGGTATGGATTTTAGAGTAAACTCGCCCCATTACCGTCTCATACCTGCCTTATACTACTTTTCGAAGGTTGATACAAGCTTGGAAGAGCTTAGAATCTAGACTATAATAATATAAAATATTTATTAATAAAATTAACGTCGTTTATTAGAAATAATAATTCTTCATATTAATGTCATTATGGTAGCGCGTATGGATATCCAAATGGGTGGTGGGGCGGAGATGAATATTAACTTGTACCCGGCGGGGCGGGTGTGGATGTGGAAAATTGTACCCGCCATGGATGGTGGGGTTGGGATGGGTACAAGATTTTTAGGCGGGTATGGGATTGGAGGCACCATCCTCTGCATCTGACCCGCCCCATTGTTATCCCTAGGAGCAGGGAAGGGTAGGGGCGGAAAAGGGAGAGAGGATGGGGTTTTTCGAGGGTACGGAGGTTGGGGTCGGGACGGGGAAGGAGTTTTTTACTTTTTTGAGGGTCAGGGTGGAGGTGAGTCGGCGATTCAGGGAGAAGAGGGTGGGTGGCCGGTGTAGCGCTCCGGCGCCAGTGGGCAAGTATAGGAGTCGGGCTGGTGGAGATGGCAGTCGTGGAGGGTGGTTGGACTAGTGGTGGGAGTTGTTTTTTAATTAATCAAATGACAATTTTTAAGTTTTTCTTTTAAAATAAAATTATGATTTTATTTTTTTTATCAATCAAATGCCGACACTTGTCACGTAACTTTCTTTAACAAGTTAAATGACCGGTTGTGACCATTTAAAACTAACTGGCATTAAAGGTCAGATTATTTAAAACTAATCAAAATGTAAATTATTTTAGATGAACGAGGCAAAAGCCGAATTATAGCTAGCAATTTTTCCTTTATTATACTCCGTATCTAAAACTTTAGGAATTACGAAGTACTTAATTAGAAGCTGGGCCCTGGGCTTCGGTAGCACTCTTTGGCGTGCCGTGGTCAGCAAGCTAAAACGAGACTAGCTATTTCTCTCCCTTGCAAAAAAAAAAAAAAAAACAGAAAAAAAAAAAGTTAAAACGAGACAAGAAACTAAGGCTAAGCCAAGTACAACAGAGACGCAATTTCGGAAGATCAGAGGGTAGAGCAGCAAAAAAAAATGAGGTAGTCCATTGATGTTGCTTGATTTGTTCATATAATACATTAATTTGGTTGCTTAATTAGGTCATATATTTGATGATTCTTTCTAACTTAACATATTTGTACTTTAGCTAAAATAGTTTGCAAACCATCAACAAATCAATTGTATTCAGTCTATGAAAATAAGGGTTTGGCAAATAAGGATGAAAATCAAAGAAGAAACACAAACAATGGGAATAGGGTTGGACAATGTTGTTAAATGGTTGTCAAGCTGATTCTATATACTAGTGTATTTTTTTTATTGTGTAATAGAAATTGATTTCTGATTATGGATATTTATGGAGAAAACCCTTTTGAAGGCACATATATTAATTGTTTGAACTTATTATATAGCTTATTAATTGAACATTGGTTAAGATCAATTTCTGTGTAATTTATGATTGTTTGGAACTTGTATAGCTAAATATTAATGATTTTGATCCTACAATTTAAACATTTTGTATGTGATTATAACTTCAGAAGAAGTAACATACTTACCTTAAATTATTTCGACTTCAGTGATATGAACGATTCTTCTGATTAAGATCAAGATTTCTCCGACGATGTAGGTAATCCTAGTGGTGGTCCTGATGATGAAGATGTTACACCACCTGTAAGTTCTAAACATTATTATTGTTTTTGATAAATTTTATTTCTTGTTACAATATATCTTAACACATGTGTTTGACCTTATTGTTTACAAACAAAATATATCTGTGCAAACTTCACTAGTTGGTATCATTTGAAATGCATTGGATTAAACTAATTTTTATAACATATATACTTTGATGATATTGGTATGAAATATTTTGTTTGTTTAATACTTATACCTATAAGTTATATGGTTTGGATTATCAACAAGTGTACAAATTGTTTTCGCTTGGTTTGATGATATTGATAGGAGATATTTTGTTTCATTTACAGCCCGTGTCGGAAGATATAGAAAGAATATGTTGTATAGGTGGAGGAAGGGTTGGAGTTTTAAGTATGATGGTGCTTGCTCACTATTGGCACGATAAACATTTCGTTGTTTTGGATAAGGATGTTGAGAAGACTAATGATATGAATGGTATCAATGATGAAAATGAGAGAGTTATGCCTTTTTCTGAGCCTGATATTTATATCTTAACGAAGGTATTGACAGGGCAAATCTACATTTTAGCTCCAATATTGATCAAGAACTTGATCTATGTCAATTGATTTTTATTGCGGTTGACATTCCTCTCAAGATAAAGCCCAAAGTACTCAAGAATGACTTGGACATCAAGAACTTTGATGATGCTATCAAGAGCATACTCCAATCAATCGATAGAATACACTGGTAGGAAGTATGTAGCTATCAAATCTACTGTACCAGTTGACTATAAATCAAACATTGCAAACCACATTCGTGGGTTTAACAATGCTAGGCATCTTAGCGTCATCACAAACCCGGAGTTCTTTTCTGTTGGCACCGCTGTTCAAGATTTGCTACATCCTCAGAAGGTGGTATTAGGTGACTTTTACGAAGGTCACAATAGTTTAATTCTTTTTAAGGATTTGTATGCAGGAGTGGTCAATGTTGATAATATCGAAATCATTGGTTCACAATCTTCTGTGCAAATAGGGAAGTTATTATCTAATGCAGTTCTTGCAGCTCAGTTAACACTTATGAATATAGGATCTACCTTATGTGAAAAGGTCGGCTCAAATTTCGATGATGTGAGAAGCACCATAACTGCAAACTCAAGATTGAATCAGGATTTTATCAATTCGAGACCGGGTTATGGAAGTATGGGTTTGACAAAAGACATAGATTATTTGGCATATTTATGTGAATATGTAGGGATGACAAATGAAAAGAAGTTTTTTACAATGATTAGTGAGATGAGGAGAAGAATGATGGATGAATTAGTACAGACTGTTTCACACATGATCGGAGGCTCTTTGAATATAGCTATATATGGATTTTCTAATAAAGTGGATTTAGATGACATCAGAGAATCACCTGCAATTTACATTTGTCGATCGTTGTTGAAGATTAATGGTATTCGTCTGAAAATATTTGATCCATTAGTTTCTGAAAATACGATCCTGAAATGTTTTGCTCCTAGAGAGAGAAATCGAATATTGGTTGCTGATAACATAGAAGGTGCTTGGGATGTTGAAGCAATGGTCTTCTTAGTTGAATGGCCAATGTTTGCTACTATGTTGGAGGAACAACGCGATGAGCTAGTTATCACAATGAGAAGGCCAGCCTTTATCTTTGATTGCTGTGATTTGATTGTCGATGTGAATGGTTTTGATCATATTCAGATCTACCGATTAGGAACACCTATATAATATGCTCGTGAGGTGAAGGTGAAGGTGAAGGTGATAGTGATGAGTTTTGATGATGATTGAGATGATAGATGATGGGGGGAAGCAGGGGATCAAATCTCCATTTCACACGCTCTTTTGAGTTAGATTAAATGTTAATGGTTTTGTAATGAAATTGGGTTAATTTTAGTTTGAGTATTGAAACTTTAGTACTGTAATATGATTTTGCCTTGATTTTGAACATCTCTTAATTCATACTTTTGCTCTAGTATTCTACTTATTGGTGAACCTATTGGGTTGTATACTTTGATACGATTACATGTTTATTTCATCAAAGTGGATCATTTTGCATAGGGTTGGAAAAAATTGACACAATACAATACCCTACCCGAGACTTACAACTTTGGGTCAAAACTCTCATCCTATTTAATTAATTAGGTTGACAAGAAATTAAACAGGTTAGATTTAAGTTGAAAGTTTCAAATCGTAAGTGACACACCTAACACGTCAACCCAATATTAAATCCTTTGAATGAATAATATCATAAATTGCAATCCATTACGTCAAAAACAGAAAATTGCAAACCACACTATCGTTTCACTGAAAACTTTTATGATATAAATATTTTGGCGGCCAACTGACTAAAAAAAAAAAAACCAAGCGACAATTTGGTAAAAAGACAACATTTTGCTCAAAATATCTAATTTTTTCAACACTATAAAAATCCTAATTTAACTTTTTTGTGTTTTTAATTTTTTTTCGACAAGCTCTTTAAAAATCCTAATTTAATATGAATTATTAATTTATTTATGTCATCCCTTTTTATTTTGCTGAATCCCAATACCAAATTTATATTCAATCCGCTTGTCAAAAAAAAAATTATTTTCAATCCCTTTTAAAAAGTTTCGTTAATAAGGGGTATGAAAATTAAGTGAAAATTGATACTTAAACTTCTTTTTATTAACTTGAAATTTGGTATAAAAAACACGGAAAAGAAACTAAATTAAGTATTCGAGAGTAATTTGTCGGAATTTTTTAAATTTTTTAGGTTAATTGTCACCTGAGATTAGTTTATTTACCAAATTGTCGCTTAGGGTTAGTTTTTATTACCAAATTGTCACCGAAATTATTTTTTTACCAAATTGTCACTAAGAGTCTTTTTTTTATTTACCAACCTAGTCAATTAACCATATTTTTTTTTTTTTTTTGGTGAAGACTAGGGGCAAGCCCCAATCAATTAGCCATATTTTGGCTGGTAAAAATTTTGGGTGAGGGAAATTTTATCACAATTTTTTTTATAAATTAAAATGTTATAGACAACATTACAAGTAGATTAAATTTTAAATATACTTCCAAACGATAATTTGCAAGTCGACCCTTCATTTTTGGATAGCAGCGTTTCCAAGTTGCAGAACATTTAGGACAACGCTGTTTAGTGCACCTCAAGTGCAACTTTATACCAGCAGCCTTACAGCGAATCTCTTCTTCATTCCACTCCACGGATTGAGATATCCCAATCCTAGCAGTCTTTGAGCAGTCACGAACATAGAAACTATGTCGGGTATCCAACACCTCCAATCGTTTGTGCCCATCTAATATTGTTGAAAGTTTCAAATCGTAAGGGACACACCTAACACGTCATCCTAATATATGATGTTTATATAAGTATTCAATAATATTAAATCCTTTGAATGAATAATATCATAAATTGCAATCCATTTCGTCAAAAACAGAAAATTGCAAAGCACACTATCGTTTCACTGAAAACTTTTATGATATAAATATTTTGGCGGCCAACTGATTAAAAAAAAAAAAAAAAAACCAAGCGACAATTTGGTAAAAAGACAACATTTAGCTCAAAATATCTAATTTTTTCAACACTATAAAAATCCTAATTTAACTTTTTTGTGTTTTTAATTTTTTTTTCGACAAGCTCTTTAAAAATCCTAATTTAATATGAATTATTAATTTATTTATGTCATCCCTTTTTATTTTGCTGAATCCCAACACCAAATTTATATTCAATCCGCTTGTCAAAATTTTTTTTTTTTCAATCCCTTTTAAAAAGTTTCGTTAATAAGGGAAGGGGTATTAAAATTAAGTGAAAATTGATATTTAAACATTTTTTTTATCTTGAAATTTGGTATAAGAAAAACACGGAAAAAAAACTAATTTAAGTATTCACGAGTAATTTGTCGGAACTTTTTATATTTTTTAGGTTAATTGTCACTTGAAATTTGAGATTAGTTTATTTATCAAATTGTCGCTTAGGGTTAGTTTTTTGTTTTTGTTACCAAATTGTCACCGAATTATTTTTTTACTAAATTGTCACTAAGAGTCTTTTTTTATTTACCAACCTAGTCAATTAGTCTTTTTTTATTTACCAACCTAGTCAATTAGTCATATTTTGGCTGGTAAAAATTTTGGGTGAGGGAAATTTAATCGCAATTTCCTTTATAAATTAAAATGTTATAGACAACATTACAAGTAGATTAAATTTTAAATATACTTCCAATAACGATAATTTGTAAGTCGACCCTTCATTTTTGGATAGCAGCATTTCCAAGTTGCAGAACATTTAGGACAACGCTGTTTAGTGCACCTCAAGTGCAACTTTATACCAGCAGCCTTACAGCGAATCTCTTCTTCATTCCACTCCACGGATTGAGATATCCCAATCCTAGCAGTCTTTGAGCAGTCACGAACACAGAAACTATGTCGGGTATCCAACACCTCCAATCGTTTGTGCCCATCTAATATTGTTGACAATGCAGTGACTGATAAAGCACATGAGATGAGATACAATCGTCTGAGTCTAGGACATCTATCACGGATTGCTATTGCTGCAGCATCATTTACAACCCCAAATAACTGAAGACTTTCAACCTTTTCAAAGCAGACTGAGCAGAATACAAACAGATCTACAGGACACTTTACTTTCTTCAACTTCCTCCAATAACGCATAGCTTGCATAAAACATGAATGTCTGTAACCCAATGCCTCAGAGATAACCAACCGCTGCAGCGAGGGTGTCCTGAAAAGTGCACATAAATTTCATAAAGAGGGCATACCCTAAGATTAACATTAGCAAATTGCATACTGATATCTTGATACATGTGATGAATCCAATTTTATCTGTAGTACTCCGTTATTCTGCCATCTTAATAAAATATCATTCAGTGAGTAAAGCCATCTTCAAGAATCCCATACCCGGATTTTTCCTCCCAAAATGCCCCTGCTACTTAACAATCAACTCCCAAAAACCACTATATACGCCTAAAACATTGAAATAAATGTACCCACAACCCCTGTTATCCTTTAACTTTCAGGAAACATCCTTTGACAATTTCAATGGCATTCTCAAGATCCAATAAGTTAAATCTCTATAAAGATCAACCATAGGAATTCACACTGCTGACAAGTGATAATAAAGACTGGGAAGGAACCAAAAAAACATTCCATTTTCAATGGGATCAACTATAAAAAGACAAAGTTGACAAGAAATTCATCTACCTTTCAGCTATATAGACATACTTGTGTGTTGTGTGACTGGCAAAGTTTTACCAAGGCACAATACAGACAAAATTGACAAAAAAAATTCATTTACCTTTTGGCAATATAGACATACTTGTGTGGCTTTAGCACAGTTTCACCAATGAACAATGCAGAACAAGAGTCAACTGGCTTAATATCCAACATATGCTTCAGGAAACAAAGGTATCTTCTCTGAAACCTGGGAAAATCAAGGTTATTCTTCAACTTGTGGGAATCTATGACTGTGAGGTTGATCACACCACAAGGTGACAATGAGTCTAATACTGCTGCCAACAACGACTTGCTCACCAAACATGCAACGTAAAGCCTACAACGCCAAGGCACTCTGTTAATTATACCCATTAATATATCGTAGTCCAAGTCATCCCAGCTTCGCACCATAGTAGGGCCAGTTTCCGCCCTAGATGCTGCTCTAGAAAGTCTTGCAGCCTTCAATCGCATGTTTATACTGACAATATATGACAGAGGGACAAAGAGATTCAATCAAAACCAACCATAAAATGGCTCCATAAAAAGACATGCAGTAGATATAATATTCAATTGAATTCTATTTCTAACCACGCTTTCTACCTTCTACAACACAACCTAAATTAGATGCAATTGCACAGCCATCAGATGTTGGAATAATTTCAAAACTAGTTTTGCTTTTTTAATGCAGCGAGCTTCTAAATAAAAAACATGACAACTGAAGAAGTGATGACAAAATGTAGATCCTAAGCAATTTTGGCCAACTATACATACATTGCATGGCTGAACAGCTAAAATAACGTTGCCGTAATTCAAAGTTTGCCTTTTTAGTCCATCTTTTTGCTCAATAACAACTACAATCATATAATAATAAATTAATAAGACCAACTAGATTAATTTTACATATAATATCTATGTAAATTATCAGCACTTGGATAAAAAAAAATTAAAAAAAAAAGAATCTGGAATTCCATCGAACAAATTTTAAATTAATACTCAAACCACCAATCAACACAATTCTACCGAAGCCAAGAATTGTTACAAACAGGATAAACCAAGTATTATCTAATCCCTCAACACTTCAAACAATAACTGCAAATTAATTTTTTTACAGCAATAACAACAGAAACCTTAAAATGAATATTGAAAATTGAACTGAACTTGCAATTGGGTTATGCCAATTAGTGGAAGAGACTTTTCTAAACCAAATAAACAACCAACTCCTCTGTGGGAAGCTCATTCAAGCCCGTAAAAGGGGGAACAAACTACCTAAAGACCGTAGGACTCAACAGAGGCCGATGATCAAACAAAAACGAGGGTTGCGATTACGAACTCAAATGCATTGTTGGCCCTATAGAGTAAGTTTGAGAGCCCCAAATTTGTTGCGGAACAATTTTATGGGTTCCAAAGTTCAAATGTGTGTGTGAAGGTGGTACATCAGAAGGTCTCTTATAAATGCTACTAAGACTGTAACTATTATTTATAGAGTGTGAGGCTTAAGGGAGAAAACTAATTAAATATTTTGAGGAAATTACATCCGGAGCATAAGAATGTATTTTGCCTTCCCAACAATACGTGAAATTTAATACCATTCAAATATATTAGAAATCTATATAGATAATGTTTCGGTAGAATTTAAGTACTCTATAATTGAATTAAAATATGTATTGTAAGATGTCATTAATAAACATAAGGTTTACCATCTCGAATTTGCAAAGTGCTAATATCCCGTTAATGCATGGGATATTGATAATATAAGAAAAATATATATAATGTTTCAATAGAGGTTTAAGTACTCTGTAATCATACTTCACAATTAATGACATTTTAACGATAGAACACATATTTTAAAAAATATACCTCCTTTCTTATTTTAAATCAAAACACCTATGTTTCTAAAAAGAGTATAAACTGCAACTCTGTGTTCATCAACAATTCATTGTTGATGTGCTTACCCTGCATACCAATAGCTTGATTCATGCTTTACTAGTTTCTCAATCAAATCAATAATCATAAACATGCAATCTATGAAAGAACAAAAAAAATAATTTTTGCTACTTTGTCAGTGATAAGTCTGATAACCAAATTCATATCAAATCGACAGAACACAAAAACTACAACGTTTCATCACCAAGTTAAACCTAAAATTTCCCTACCTAAAAGGATTCAAAATTAATTTAGCCAAATAATAGAAATTGCATCTTTCTTCACATTATCAGAAACCCAAAATCATCATCAGTGATTCAGCCATACAAGTGAGGCAAACATAACAAGACAGAAAGGGCCACTTTATTAACCATGATCAATTTATATAATGGCGAAAAATTCAGGAACATAATTTATGCATCTTTCTTTCCCCTCTTCATGCAATTTCAAATAAATCCCAAAAATTGGGCCATGATAAATTCTTTACATGAGATGGATTGAAAATTTGTTCGGTAAAAATTTGCTGCAGGCATGTAAGTGAGTTATTCAAACAATTAATGACAAAAAAAATCGGCAGAAATTATACTATAATCAATCAGTAATTCTGTGATAAGATAACAAAAAATTATAATCAAGTGAGATTTAGAAATAGAATCACCAGCAAAGAGTAGATAAAAAAAAGGGTGCACATGCTAATACCAATCTAGCGCTGTTATCAGACAACAAATAACAAGAAAAACAGAGGCAAGATATGAAAAGAAAAAATCTGCAAGAGATGCAATCTTCGGAAATACAGAAGACATCTTAAATAATACTACTTGAACCGTATCAGACGTCAAATATTTTTTAAAAATATATATATATATATATATATATATATATATATATATATATATATATATATATAAAATCAGACTAAAAAGCGCAGAACTTTCTTGATTTTGACAAAATATATGAATAAATCCATCAAATATTATAAACATATGAAAACCCCAATGCCCAATAACTAACAAAGCAATTAAGAAATGCTAAACATACCGCCAATTGAATCAGAATAAAATCCAAAAAAATATTTATATTGAGACAAAACTAAACGCACGAAATTTTCTCAAATTTAGCAACATATAAGAACCCATAAAAAATTATAGCCAAATGAAACTATAAATTTCAACACCTAACAAATTAACCAAACAATTATGATTACAACAAATCCCTTCTGCAATATTCAAATTCTGCATTTTACCATTAATACCCAATTATAGTCACTTTGATTATGAACAGAAGACGAACAATTACCAAACGATGAGGCAATTACACAACTAAAATCTTAAACCCTGACAGATTGAGTTCCAATTTCCTCAAAACAGCAACAATACCAATGGATGTGACAGAAATGCAAAACCCTGGTGAACAGAATTCAAAGTAAATTATAGTATTTTTTTTTCATTAGAAAATTCAGATAAGGGGATTAGTCAAACTTATTACTTAACTACACTATACATCAGTAAGAAATCATTACATATCACCTAATAAGGGTGTATTCTATTCACCTGATTTTAACTTATATGAACTTATCTAAATTTAAGCGAACTTATTAAAACTTATTGTAGTTGTAATTTGAACTTGGATAACCATTTTCCAAACTTATTTTTCCTGAACTGAATTTAACTAGACTTACCTGAACTTAACTTATTAGATCTGAAGTGAAAATAAGGTGAGCACAACAAATCCTGGTAATAATTAACTAATCAATGAACGCTACTTCATGGCAAAAGGCAGGGATTGCAGAGCTTGAATTTGGCAGACAGTATGGACTGTTCATTAGTGTCCAAATTAACCTTTAGAATGAAACCTGGACTCAAGGGTCAATTAGTGAATCAGAGCCTCAGTCAGTGAATCAGTGTCAGTGATCAATGCAGTTAATATTTTACATTGTATTGTTCATTAGTGTTCAATTCACTTTTAAAACAAAATGATAGTGGCCATATGCAAACATGTAATACTCTCAACTAGCCATGTTTTAACAGTAGTTTACTAGTTTCTACAGCTCCTGCAACAAGAATACTATACCATAATTACCAACCATGATTTTATATCAAACATTCAATTCCAAAATAAAAAAAAAAATTATGAATTCAACCCTTAAAAAGTTCACTCCTTTTTAATCATCAGTAAATCACAACAAGCCATATGCAAGGTTAATAAAATAAAAAGCACATAAGTTCATATAAAATCAACTTTAATTTATCACCAAAAAAATTATAAAAAATGTAATTTTATTCATCATTACAAATTCCATCAACCCCGGATGCATAAAATCTAAATATTGATATTTGTTCAACCAAAATATGCAAAGATTTTCCACCAAAAAAATTAAAAGAACCCCATATTAGATAGTAAGAAGATCCCACCAGAGATGAGCAGGGCAGGAGGGGCGGCCGCCCTAGGCCCAGGGAAAAGAGATCTAATTTCATATTCAATTATCTCAAAAAAATACATAATTTTAGGGATATTTGATTCAATAATCAAATTAGGCTCATAATTTTCTTTTCTTTTGGTTATGATGTTGCATAATCTAAGAATTTAGAACCAATAGTTCAGATTTACGAACCCTAAACTTAACACGCTGATAATTGGATTGAATTAGATCAAATATAAACCCTAGATTGTAAATTGATATGATGATAACAACAACAAACAACTTACCTTAGAAGCTGCTTCAATGGGGATACAAGAATTTGATTCAACGGAGAACGCTTCCATGGAGTCTACGCTTCAATGAAATAAGTTAGAGATGTAGGAAACTAGGAATGGAGGCCTTTTAAAAGCCATCACCCGCCACATTTATAATACGGGTTAAATCCGTCTAATAAATAAATGGCACGGATCTTTATATGATCGTATATGGGGCAGAGCGGGCTTTATAAGGGCTTTTAGTAGAAGCGATAAACATTGGTTCAGCCTGCTAGCCTGGTCCAATCCAGCCCGAAAACCCGGACCCAACTATATAAAAGCCTGAAAAGCCTGCTACTTTTTGCGGATTTGGGCAAGAGATACTACATTAAGGCCAGGTCTGGCCCGATATTTTGATCACCTCTAGCCTCTAGTTTTAAGTAAATCTGTTTTAAAAGTATCGTACTCCCTCCGTGTTTTTTTAAGTGATACATATTCCATTTCCGGCCGTGTTTTTTTAAGTGATACATTTCTTTTTTTGGCAAAACAATACATTAAAATATTATATCTTTCTCCTCCCATGGTCCCCACCCAAACCCACTACCACTTTTTTATTATATCTTTCCTCTCACATTCATTACTTTTCAATAAACTATTAACCCCACTATCTTTTTTTAACAATTTTTTAATACTCCACTACCCCACTTACCTCTTATTTTATTTATGTCAATTAAATTGCCTACAACTATGTGCCAGTCAATATGTATCACTTAAAAAAACACGGAGGGAGTATTAGTTTTCTTTGATTCTTCCATTTCTCAAATACGGAGCATTATTTTCACACACCATCAAAGCTTGTATCAATTCTTTGTAAGTTTTTAAGATTTTTTAAAATTTTATTTTTGAAAATGGTTGAAATTAACATTAATTAAACTGAGTTTACAACAAATAAAAGAAAAGTAAATTAACATAAGTTACTAAAGGCATAAGAAGCCCTTACACAATACCAATTAAGGTCATTAACGACATTTACCTTAAAGTTATTACAACGAGTGAGGACAACGCACATAAGGTTTACCAACATACATTTAAACATGTGATGGGACTATTGATAGAATGAGGGAAGTTGGTGATGATGTTTCGTGTTGTGCGAGTTCTTTTCTAACATATAATTAAAAGTCTGTGAATGTTGCTGAAATTAGAGAGTGAGGGATAGCTTAAGTGGTTAGAGATCCCCTTCCGTTTCTAGGTGATCGTGAGCTTGATTCTCATCCCCTCCCTTGTGGTTCTCTACCAAAAAAATGTTGCTGAAATGACGGAGACGACTCAAAATCAGTAAGTCTTATCCTAGCGGACCTCAATAATTCAAATGGATAAAATCTTCTTGATTTATTTACTTCAAAGTCACGATGTTGCAATAACTTTTATTTTACTGTCAATTGGTTTAACAACACCTACTACCATCCTCCTTCAACAAGAGTTTATATAAACCTAAAATTGAAATTTTTCTTTGTCTCCCAACAAACATAAGTAATACCACTTTTTTTAAAGGAACACATTTTTATTACAACTAAAGAGATTAAAAAGGGCAATTTCTAGAGTCCAACGACTCCATTTCATCATCCAATTAACCCTGAATTCGACTTGTCTTCGCTTTTGATTTTATTATATTAGGTGCTTCCAAAATCTAAGTTTTATTTTTTTTAGAAAAATCACTTTAATTCATTAATCAGAATTTTCAGCGATTTACTCTTAATAATCCCAACTTACGTTTATTTTAGAGCACTATGAATTTTTGGGTGGATTTTCTTCTACTAGGTAGATTTACCAGTGACCTAACTAAAAGTTGATTTTTATTTGTAAAGCCATGTGTCACAACATAATTGGTCCAAATGGAAAACAAAATTTTGAAACCCTTCCCAGCCACCATCCTTCCTTCCATTCCCCCACCGTTAAACCTTAGCCTCAATCCTCATCCCCATCGAAATTCGACCAGCCACCTCCCCTAACAACCGATAACAACCGATCGGCCTCTCCCAACCTTTAATTTAAAACCACTCGGCGTGACCCACCTACACCATCTAATAAACCACCCCCGTTCCCTCACTCCCGAAATAGCCCTTCCCTTATCATGCCGATGAAATTGCCCCTCCTCCTTTCCCTCGTCGCAGAAATGATCGATTGCTTAGCTCCTTAATTGAGATTATTGCTAAGAAATTAAATGTGGTTGTGTTACTCAAGGTTTTTGTGTTAGTTTTTTCCAAAAAAAAATAAATAAATAAATGGTAGTTGTTCCAAAAAATGGTCATTTAAATGGTAGTTTTCGGTAAAAGTTTCTTAATTTTTCACAAAATTACCATATATTAAAAGTATAATACTCCCTTGATCTCTTTTTATTGGATACATTTTGACTTTTACATGGTTGTACACCTATTTAACCATTAATAACTTTTATTGCATACCTTTTAAAATTATAACCATTAATATTGATAGAGCATTCGTTGAGACAGATCAAACAAGACTACACATGACTATATTATATCTTTTACTTTTGTGAGTAAATTTGAAGATTAGGAAATACTCTCTTTGTCCCATAATACATTACACGGTCAACATTGCACACATATCAATGCACTAGTTTCACTTTGTTTTTATATAAGTAAATATTAATGAAAATTATTTCGAAACTTTATATTAATACCTATTTAACAACATATACAAGTATTATGATATGCTTTTATTATGTTAGTAAAAATTATAATCAAAACTAATACATGAAATGTGAAAAAAGTCCAACGTGTAAATTTTCGAGAAAAAACGCACAAACATGATGAATACGTCGTTGAATTTGCCTGATTTTGTTGATGTGAATATGTGATAAGCTGAATAGAAAGAATTGTGCAATTTTGATGTTAAACACTGGAATTCGTTGATTTTTTTTAGGTAAAAATGTTGAGTTGTTGTATGCCATATTATATATAATCTAGATAGAGCTTGTAGAGGTGATAAATTATGACCGACCCGTTAGTCCAGATGATTTGGCTTGAAAATAGGGCGGTTTTGGGCAAGTAAAATACACTTTTTAGTCAAAATTTGAATTTGATCTGAAAAGGTCAAAATAAGTTAATAAGACCACTATGGCTCGACACGCCCGCAACTTTTGGTTTGGACATGAAACTTGATGTCAAGGCCCCGCTTGAATTTTTTATAACCTCTAAGATAGAGGAGAAAGATGGGGGAAATAAAAATCCACCAGACAGAGTCTCAAGAAGACAAGGAGGGCACCTGATTTATGCACAAGCAAAAATGTGTACTTCCTCCATTTTGTTTTAGACGCATCACTTTTTAAACGAGGATATTTCAAATTAAATTAGATGCATCACTTTCTATTTTTTCAAATATAATTTACAAACAATTGCCCAGCATAATCCGACCCGCACCTCATCCGTTCAAAATAATTTCACCTTTTAATCATTTTTTAATAATCCGATCTTTACTGTCAATTCGCTGTAAATGGTCCCAAGTGACCTGTAATCGGTTGAGTAGGTAATTTTTTTGTTAAGTTTAATTTACACGTGTCACAACGTGATTGGTCAAAAAAACTTTTACTTTTAATTTTTTTTAAATGAAATGATTATTACTTATTAACATTAATTAACTTATTTAAAAAATTAAATTTAACTTTTTTTAAAACTAGGGATTCTTACCGTGCGATGCGCCCAGATGGCTAGCACTTTAGGAGAATTATTATTGGTGGTCTTTACACCTTATGCATATTTGCATGGTATATATTTTATTATATCTATTTGCAATTTTGCATAGTAATTTTGAAGTACTTAATGATGAGACGAATTAAATAAATAAAGCTAGTCATCATATAATTATATATTTTGTAAAAATTGGAGAGTCTAAACTCTAAAAAATGCTTTACATTTTGAAATAAACACAAATAATTAATCAATTTTGGTGATTCAAGAGACAATTTTAAAGGCTTTTTAATTCAATGAGGGTTTATATGTAAAATAACATATTTTAGGGATATGAATGTCCATGCACTATTCATAAGAGTATTCTCCCACGTTTTATAAGGTAGATATAAAAAATAATGATAATTAAAAATTTAAATCCACAACCAGCCCTAGCCACCTTCCCGCCCCACCATCGGCCTAAACTAGTCGCCAGCCTCGTCACGCCCAGACAACAGCTCCCCTGTGCCTATCGTTGCCCTTCCTCTACCCCCTTCTGTCACCTCTAAACCACCACAATTAACCCTTACCAAAACCAAGGCGAGTGAAGGGGAGGGGGGCTGAAATGGAGGCGTGGGAAAGGGAGGAAGGGCTGAAATCGGGCCAAGAGAAAGGGGAGAAGGTCAGAAAAGGGACAGGGGAGGGGGCCGGAAACATGGCGGGGGGAAGGGGAGAGAGGTCGGGATCGGGACGAGGAGCAGTTTCGAAGGTGGTTGGTGGTTCAGGGGGATGGGGGCGGTCAGCGGCTTGACGCTCCAGTGCCGGCAAGAGGTTAGGCTGGTGGGAGTGACGGTCGTGATGGGTGGTTAGCTGGTGAGTGTGGTTTTTAATTTTTTTTAATCAATTAAGAAATTATTTATTATTTTTTAGATCAATCAAATGCCAACATGGGTCATGAAACTTGCTATAACAAGTTAAATGACCGGTTGGGACCATTTAAAGTGGATTGACATCAAAGGTCAGATTATCTAAAAATAATTGAAATGTAGAGAAATACAAGTTTATCTTGATGATAAACAAAATTTGTTTATCTAATGGCATTTTCGTAAATAAATTAACAAAAAAATCCCAGTCAGCATGGCATTTTCGTAAATAAGTCAACAGTTATGGGACCCGCATATTGATAAAAGTTGTTTACTTACTCGTATTTACAAAAATGTCATGCTGACTGATATGAATTGTTGATATATTTAGACCACTATCAGCAGTGAGGAAAAAAAAAACCTCTCAATCTCTCTCTACCCACTTTCTCACTCCTCCCATACAATTTCTCTCATCAAATGTTTTTTTCACTACATCAATGAGGAGAAAAAAAAACCTCTCATCACTTTTTCCTCCACTATTTACTATACCCCACCATAATACACATCATCTTTTTATTTTATCTTTATTTTGAAATAATGTTTATACTACATATTTAATTTTCCAATACAATTAAAATATGTGAAAATAATTTATTTTTTAATTACGTTTAAAAATAATTTAATAAAAATGTATAATTTAATAACAATTTATAAGTTTTATATTTACTTTTCAATTACGTTTAAAAATAATATAATAAAAATTTATAATTTTTATATTTATTTTTCAATTACGTTTCAATTATAACTTAATAAGATTGTTATTTATTTGTCAATTACGTTTTAATTATAATTAATAATTTTTTTTTATTTTTCAATTACGTTTTATTTATAATTTAACATTTGAATTAGTAGCACATTTTTGTAATGAACACATTAAATAGTCACATGGGAACTTCAATAACGGTAATACAAACACATGGGATGTTAAATAACGGTACAATTACGAACTAGATAAAAGTGGTTCTACTAAAATAAAATACAAACACGAGTATTAAAACATAAATAACGATACGGTTACAAATAACAAACTAAAAAATTATTTATTCAACCGCATTATGACGAAAGTTCTGCCATATGTGCTCCACTAAATCTTGTTTCAGAGATGAATGAATTTCTCTATCAAGAAGGGAAATCCTTCTCTCCAAATACGTGTTGAAATCAATGTTGGGTGGTCGCCCGACGTTGAATTCAAATGGCTCGTTGTTAAACACCGTGGCACTTGTGCTCGGGTCTGCCCGCCTCACCGTACGTTGTGGTCGATCTTCTTCGTAGTATCGTCTCAAAACATCTGCACGTGCGTAGTTGTGTCGTTCATCCTCGACGATCATGTTGTGCATTATTATACAGGCTTTCATAATATCACAGAGAATATCTTCGTCGTATGCAAGTGCTGGTTGTCGTAGTATAGCGAACCTAGCTTGTAAAACTCCGAAAGCCCGTTCGACGTCTTTCCGAACTGCTGCTTGTTGATCAGCAAACAACTTGTCTTTTCTAACATGAGGATGTGTTATACCCTGTATAAAAGTTGGCCATCTCGGGTAAATCCCATCGGCCAAGTAGTAGCCCAACTCATATTGATGTCCATTAACCGTAAAATTTATGTGTGGTGCATGACCTTGTAAAACATCATCAAATACCGGTGAACGGTAAAGGACATTCAAATCGTTACATGACCCAGGCATTCCAAAGAACGCATGCCAAATCCATAGATCCTGATCAGCAACAGCTTCAAGAATGAGAGTTGCACTCTTGCTACGACCAGCATATTGTGCCTTCCAAGCAGTAGGACAATTCTTCCACTCCCAATGCATGCAGTCTATACTACCAATCATCCCTGGAAAACCACGCAGATCATTTTGATGAAGGATTCTCCTTAAATCTTCATCTGTAGGTTTTCGTAGATATTCACTTTCAAATTGTGAAATAACCCCTTGACAGAAATGTTGCAATGCCTGCCTAGAGGTTGTTTGGCCGAGACGTAAATATTCATCCACAGCGTCTGCGGCTACGCCATACGCTAACATTCTTATTGCAGCGGTGCATTTCTGCAATGGTGATAAACCAAGCTTCCCAGCTGCATTTCGACGTTGCTGGAAGAATTGATCCCCCTCAACCACTTTGCTCATAATGCGGCAGAACAATGACCGTTGCATACGGAATCTACGTCGGAATTGGTTGTCGTTATACACTGGATTATTCGCGAAATAATCGTTGTATAGTTGCACATGCCCTTTTTCTCTTTCCCTATCCCTTTTGGGCTCCGTTGATAGTAATAATAATAATAATAATAATGATAATAATAATAATAATAACAATAATAATAATAATAATAATAATAATAATAATAATAATAATAACAACAACAACAATAATAATACTACTACTTTTTTTTGACAATATAATAATACGATTTTTTTCAAGGATTAATAAATTTAACAGAAATAATAATAAAGAAATTATTAATAATAATAATAATAATTATAAGAATACCAATAAAACTACTACTTTTTTTTAAATTAACACTACTAGTACTACTACTAGTAATAATAATAATAATTATAATAATAATAAAAATAATAATAATAAAAATAATAATAATAATAATAATACTAAATAATAACTGAGGGTTTTTTTTTACGAATAATAATAATAATAAAAATGATGAAAATAACTCAAAGAAATTGGGAAAAGAAGGAAATTTGTAGTATTTATAGGTTTTTTGAAAGTATATCAAAATATATCAAAATGCATGTCTATTTATAGAGAAAAAAAAATCTATCCGTTGGTGAATTTTGTTTTTTTTTTTATAATTACAACAGTTATATTTACCTTACAAAAATATAACCGTTGTAATAAAAGCAAAAAAATCTGATTGGTTGGAAGGACAAAGCCTGACGCGTGTCGCATCCCCATTGGCTGGGTCTGACGTTGCGTCAGGCCAGCTGCCCCCTTATTTTTTTTCCCTTTTTGCCCCTCAAAACGGCGTCGTTTCGCCCTTCTTTAAGGCAAAACGACGTCGTTTTGCAAGCCAGAAAGGAAAAAAAAAAGGGAAAGCAGTGTGTACATGTGGGGCCCACTGGTTACTGTTCACGAGTATTTCCCCTCAACTCTTGTGCGTTTTCCATAGCTCTCAACGGTGAGGGTTTTTTCCCTCACTAACGTAATGCTCGGGTATTTTTTTTACACCCTTATTTTTACTCGTGAGGGCTTTTCTCCTCACTGCTGGGAGTGCTCTTACCAAAATGCCATTAGATAAACAAATTCATCCACATGAATGCAACTCCCTCGATTAGATTATTTTGGACGGAAGAGGTAAAAGTTGGACTATTTCGGTTAATTTTTTCCCACAATATTGTCCTCTTTACTTCCCACAATATTGTCGAATGTGTCCTCTTTTCTTCCCTTTTCCTAATTAGGAGAAGCTAACTTTACCAAAAAAAACTTGCAGACGACTGAAAAAAGTACCCAAATTCCTTGCTATCTCATTTATTCCTAAATTCTCTGAAAAATCCCTACTATTAACCTGCGAAATCCATGGATTAAGGAGTATTTTTGATCAAAGTTGTGATTTATAGTTTGATAATCATCTTCATCATCGCCGGAAATGAGTCATCCGGCGGTGCACCCGGTGGAAGCGCCGCCGCCATTAACGACTGAAAACGCAGCAGCGGCGGCGCCGAGAGTGAGAATGAAGGATCTTCAAGGAATGGCGGGGACACCAGGTGGGCTTGTGTTGCGTCTTTTTCAATCTTTCTTCGCCATTGGAGCTTTTCTTGTCATGTCTACCACCAGCGATTTCCCCTCCGTCACTGCTTTTCGGTAACTAAAGAATTTTATTTTCCGATTATTATTGTTGTTCATTTGATGGTTAATTACCCAACATTTGATTTATTTTTGTTGATTGTGAAATGGGGTAGATGTGAATTTTTGTGGGTAAATCAAAATTTCGAAGTTTTTGTGGTATAATTTAAGCCTGTAATTGAACTTTTCTGGGCTTTGTGTGTGTTAGAATAGTGGGTAAAAGTTGCAATTTGCCTTACTTGAATGTACCATTAATAGCAATGATGCTTTGGGGGTTGGTGGAGTACGGATTGAGGAATCAGCTTATCAATTAATGTTGTTGTTCAGTAATCAGTTTTTTGAGCTGCCGATTCTTGCTTATAAAATGAGTCCGGTTGGTGTGTTTGCAAGTACGGGTGTTCTTCCATCTCTAATCCTGCTATTGGGATTGATGGTAGCCTGTGATTATCCTGCATTGGTGGTTTTGTTCTAATTTTGTATAATGACTGTATGCCATTCCTTTTTGTCCCTTCGGATTTACCTTGGAGTTACTGGAAATTTTCATGTAATGCTGCTATTAGGAACGACGTTTATTGATGTAGGTTATTGTTAGAAGTTAGAACGATCCTGTTGTGCTTTAGTGAAGTTTTGTTGTACATATATGTTGAAAAGGGATAATGTAGTGAGTGGAGTGAATCAAACTAGCAAAGTTGGGTGCTTATTAATGAATCAATCAATGCCAATGTTGCACAATTTACATTACCCTTTATTTTTATTTTTTTTTGATTTGGCAATTTTATTTTTTATTGTTTCACCTAAATAGAGTTATGTACAAGAACTTTTCAATTACAAACACTATAACAGCAAAAATCTAAAGACCTAGGTCACTTACATCATCAGCATCACTTCTTCCCCACTTTCTATCAGGGGTGTGAGAAAACCCTTCATATAGCACCACTTCTACATGCAACTTTAGAAATATGGCCTTAATTACAGCTTGCTGATATTCACAATCCCCATCAAATACTTTCCAATTTCTGTTGTATAAAGTCTCGGAAAACCACATCCCGTATATCGTGCCAAGTTCTTGCTACCTTCTTCAAGCTTGAGTAATTACTTATACCAACTATCCCATATCAAAGTTCTGAACAGGTTAATTTACCAACCATTTGCAACGTATTAAGTATTAACACTGATTCCAGCAGAGTGATTACTATTAAAAATAGTGGATATTCTATGGATCCACACTTTGAATGATCATATAAAACCTTAAATCATGCCAGTTTGAATCACTGGGATTGCTTTATATATATATATATATATATACATATATACATATATATGTACATATATATATACATAAGCTATTCTTCTCAACCGGCCAGGCTTTAAAAACTGTTACCTGTTAGGGTTGCAAAATTTTTACGGAGTATTATCATCCAAGCAACTGGTTCAACATTTGGCCTTAGTTCAGCGTGAAATTTCCTTGCAGAAAATTTGGCTTCAAGAAACATGTTCTGCTGGCCACCTCCAATAATTGTAGTTTTCCTGGACCAAAGGATTTTTCTAAAAGTCCATGATAAACCATTTGGGGTTGGCATATCCCTAAAATTGCTATCTATGATGTAGTGTACTAGTATGTATGGAGTCATTTTATTCAAAGCCTGTCTTGTTTCATAGTGATGGCCCAAAAAAGCTTGGAAATTGCTGCCTTGTCCTAAGTTGTGAGATCCAATAGATTCTGCCCCCCACTACCTTGGGTAGGCACATCTGATTCCAAGATACTCCCTTTGTCTCTTAATATTCTCCCTGTTTTCCTTTTTAGTCCGTCCCTTTGAGTTTGCTCTATACTACTTTTTGCTGTAGGGAGTAGGGACCACACCTTTAACTCACAACCCACTACATTAACCCCGTCATACTCTCTCTTATTAACTCTTTTGAACTTAAAGTTATAGAAGTAACTTCACCTCTATGGGGTAAAATAAGGGACAAAGGGAGTACTTATCTATATTTATCGCACCACCTGTCCATAAAAAGGCCCAGCAATATCTCTTAATTTGTCTTAAACTTTCTTAGGCATGAAAAACATTTGGCTCCAATAAATTATTATGCTGAGTAAACCAGAATTTCTTAGGCATAGGTTAGCAATTTGCTGACCAAAACTTAATTCTTGCAACAACCTTTCAATAAAAGGTTTGCACTGATTGAAAGACAAATTTGCAGATGCCAAAGGAACCCCAGATATTTAAAAAGGTAACTCACCACTATTCTTATGAAGGGTTTCAGCATTAAATCCTGCAATATCAGGGGAAGTGCAATCTCCTCTTGCAAACATTAGGAGATCATTGTCAAACATCAAATGTGTATGGCCTTTCGCATTTTAGACGATAATTCAAATTGGGATTTTGAGCCATGCCAGCCATTTCACCCATACACTGAGACAAATATTCCATTCCCATGCAAATAAATAGGATGAGTAGGGGCCACCCTGTCTTAGACCCACTCTGCCTGGAAAAGGAGTGGAAGGAATTACCATTCACTGGAACTCATTATGATATAGAAGCTATGCATTCTATGATCCAAGTCACACCTATAGCAGGGATTCGTAACTCATCTATATTAGATCTCAGGAAGCTCCACTCAATAGACTCATAAGCTTTCCTCAGATCTACCTTGAGCATGCATCTAGTTATACCCTTTTACTAATTTAGTGGCCAGCTAGATTATTATCTGTGAATTCCCCAACAGCCTTCTGTAATTCTGTTACCTAGCAGTTAGACTTTTAGCAATAATTATGTAAACTAATGAACAAGCAGCGGGACTAAAATCTTTTGCAGAATAAAGGCAACTTACTATAGGTACAAGGGTGATATAGTGGCACAATGTACCTGCTTTAGCAACTTAGACTTCTGGAATCAATCAAACAATCAAAGCCTTAATCTTATAAGTGGGGTTAACTTAGACTTTTGGAAGATTACTAAAATTGCATCATGAATCTTATGTTTAAAATGTGCCAAAAATTCTTAAAGAAGACAGTTGAAATAATTTAAACCACGAGCTTTTATATCACCACTTTGCCAATGCAACATTTATATCATCATCCCTAACAGGTGTATCAAGGATTCAGAAGATAAAGAACTTAGTTCTGGGCCACTTCCAATAATTGTAATTTCCACCCTAGGACTTTTTCAGAGAAATTGGTGGGTGAGGTATTTATCTTTCAGGGCTGGCTTAGACGGTAAATTAGACCAGGGAATCTCTGGTAAAAACATATGAAATAGATGCAATAACAAGCTTAAGAACTTCAGCGCCTTCATTTTTTTTACCTATATTCACTGTATAACTTATGTATAAGTTTCTTATTCTTCTAGATTTTTTAATTCTCTGTAATGACATGAAGTTTTTAATTTGTGCTCCCAGCTTTCTTGTTGCCGCTTCTGGCTTGCAGATCTTATGGAGCCTTTCACTGGCAATGCTTGATATCTACGCTATCTTAGTCAAACGAAATTTTCGTAATCGTCGAGCTGTTAGCTTGTTTGCTGCTGGTGATGTGGTAAGATTGACTTCACCTTTTTTTTCGTAATAATCAGAGAGCTTCAACAATTTCTTTTTGTAGCATGCTCGATATTTTTACTGGACTAACATTTATGAAATAATGAACCTGAATAGATCCTTCAGCTTCTAGCTGACGTCACTATTGCATATAGAAAGATGTCTCTTACATGCACGAATCAATAATAGTATCAAAATTCTGTCTTATTTATGCCGCCTCTCTTTCTTTAGTATTTGCAATCAGATATTTAAGTTAGAAATGTAGCACTGTGAAGTTGATAGCTGAATCCTGTCAATCTTCTACTCCATAAGGTCGGTGGCTTTTAAGCCAGGTAATTATTAGAATATTGAGGAATGGTTATGATCACCATGTGGGTGATTTAGAGTGAGAAGTGTGGTCGAGTCTTTGAGAAGGTTAAAGTGTAGTATATGAGTGTTAGTGGTGGGGATCTGTTGTATGAGATGATTGGATCCCATACTATAGCATTACAAGTTAAATGTGGATGCTGCTTCTGGATATTATTTGGTGTGGTGATTAGAAGTAATATTGAGGATGTCTTAGATGTGGCTTGTATAATCTGTGAAGTTTATTGTGGGATTGTGGTTGTGGAAGTGATAGCTGCAAGCTCTAGCCTTTCCACTGCAAGAGATTTTCATTTTAAAGCTGATATTAAGTTTGGATACTCATTGCTCCAACCTCAGCTCAACATGTTAAAATTGAAACAGCAGCATAGCGGTTTTCATGTCCTGATGAAGTATATCAACTCTCTGATTAAAAGTTTTCTTTCCTTAAATGTTTCCTATGTGCATAGAGAACTAGAGAAGGTAATAGAGGTATCAATAGACTAGTAAAATCCAGCTATGTGCTTGTGGATGGAGGACTTGGCCAGTGGTGCCGTTATCTTTTTGATGGATAAGATTGCTATATGTTTGATGAATGATAAGCCTTGGTTTTAATTTAAAAAGTGGGAAATAGTGATGGTTATTTTGGCACGATTCTTAGGAAAATTGCTTATTTACAATCCGACCTTTCGCTAACCTACTATAATAATCTTACGATTGAGAATGTAAAGTTACATTCTATTTTCCAGTTGATTGGCATACCAGAAAGCTTTCCACTTCTTCATGACTTTGTTTTGACAGAATTGTGCAATTATTTATTTTATTACATGATCATATGTATTACATTAATAATATAGGAACATTGCATGATTTGATTACTTAATAAAAATATATTTCTGGAATTAACTCTTTGAAAATTGGAGGTACTATCATTTGGATTTACAGCAAATTGGACTATTTTTATACTTTCTCCATTCTCTTTTTATTGCAACGTGGAGGGGATGTGTGGTATTTTAGGAGAGGAGAGAGATAGAAATAAAGATCCATGTGATGAGGAAAGAGATATAGAGCATCATTGGCCAAATGAAGTAATGTGGCAATTAATTTGCAACTTCTCAAAAAGGATTACGTGGATTATTATTGTGGGACGGCCAAAGGTCAGGTTTTAGGTGTACAATTTTATTTTCATTGAATTATTTTTTTCTTCAATTAGTTATGGCGGTTTCGTATGTGAGTCGAAGACCTGCTATATCTTATGGTATGTGGTCATTCACTCATTCTTGACATACCACTATCCCGGTGCTCCTCTTGAGGTTCTGGAATCTTGCTGAAGATATATTTTTTACTCTTTTCAGCCTGTCTCATTCTAAGGATCTGGCTTGAAAACCATTATTTGGACTATTTTGCTACAACAAATTGTAACAAAGGATTTAATTGTCTGTTTTAGTTGATTGTTCCCAACATTACCTACATGTGCATGATGCATCCTTTTTGCAACAGGATTTTCAAAGAGTTGATAATGGGCAACTTTATGAACTCCAGGTTAAAATGAAATTTAAATTAATTTAGTTAACGTGCACTCCCTCTGCAATTGCGTGGTAAGGTTGCATGCATTTGACAACCCTCCCACCTTTTACCATTCCCTTGCGACAGCCTTGTGCTGAATGTTCACTATCTTTCATATACCCCCCTCTCCAGTCTCCACACACAAAAAAAAAAGGGTTTTTCTAAGCTATACCCATAAGGTAGTTGAGTTTCTAAGGTGTACCCGTGCTTTTTCAAGTTTCTAAGCCGTGCCCTTCAACTTCTTATCAATACTAAAATGTACCCTTATTAGTTTTTTAAAAGTTAATTGAGAGTGTGATTTCGTGGCTTTAGTTTTCGTTAATAGGGTTGTTGTGATTAAGATTTCTTTCTCGTATCATTTCCTTACCTTTTATCATCATTTTATTAAATTTATAGTTAAGTTTAGGTGACGTGAAAGTCCCAAGGAGGGTATCATTCATTAATGGTAGTGAGTTGAGGGGCACGACTTAGAAATTTGAAAAATCATGGGTACACCTTAGAAACTCGACTACCTTAGGGGCATAGCTTAGAAAAACCCAAAAAAAAAATTATTCGATCACTGGTTGCTCAAAATTAAATCTGCATTATACTTGTCTTGCAGATCACTTCTACTCTCATATTTTCTGCGGCCTGTGCGTCTGCGGGTATCACTGTTCTCATTGGCAATGATCTGCAGAGTTGTTCAAAGAACCACTGTGCTCAATTTGAAACTTCAACAGGCATGGCTTTCATGACTTGGTTTGCTGCTTTACCTTCTTTTCTACTGAATTTCTGGTCTTTGGCCTCTCGATGACAAAAATTCAGTCCGATGCACTGGCAGTACATTTATGCTTGGATCATATGTGTATAATAGCTCTAATGTATATTGTGTTTGAATTTGCAATTCTAAACGGATACAATTTTGTGCCTTTTTGGTTTAGTTTCCTGCAAGTTGGAGTGGTCTTGTGCTGTTTGTGAAGTTGTAGTGCCTTTAATGCCTCTAATGTCGATGCTATGGAAGATAACGCCTTTCCGTTGTGAAATGAGTTTCTTTAATGTCACTTGTGTTTGTGAAGGCTTACTCAGACCAAATCCGTGCTATAGGGAAAAATCCCAATTTTGTTTGAACTGGTTCACGATTCAAGTTATTATTATTATTATTATTATTATTATTACTATTATTATTATTACTATTATTATTATTATTATTATAATTATTATTATTATTATTATTATTGTTATTGTTATTGTTATTATTATTATTATTATTATTATTATTATTATTATTATTATTATTATTATTATTATTATATTTATTTTTGTGGGATATTTTGTGCGTAATGAGAAGCATTAAACAGGTTTTAACTAGAAGTGCAAATGATACCTTTACAAAGGCTATCTACTGCTAATAGGGATCATTTTTGCCCTTGTTTCCCTCTAGTAAGAAGTTAGACAAGGCTTTCAAAAGAAAAAAATTCTCTATATGAGTTAGAGAGGAACTTATTTGCAATTTTCAAAAGTTTTTAGATACTAGCTTAACGATTGGAGCTAAATATACAATTAGCTTTGGCTAAGCTAATTTTCAAAAGAGGGGAAGTTGGTGAGTATTTATTGAACCATGATTAATGTATTAGAGGTTGATTATGTGAGAATTACCAAATTATAATTAGATTAGAGAAAACTTAAAATTTTAAGAGAAAATTGGTAAAAATAATCCCAACTTTTGTTCATTCGATCAAATAACTTTTTTTTTGAAGGAAGTCAAAATATTTCTAACTTTGGGTTAACTTTGAGGGTTATTTGCTCAAAATAGTCTTAGGTTACGGTGACACGTGTTACTACGTCATTGGTTGGTTGAAAAATAAAATTAATTAATTAAAACTTTTTTAACAAAACTTTTTTTTAAAAAACACCAAAATCAACCCCCACCCACAATCCATTCCGGAGCTTCCCACCATCCCCACCCTTGCTACGGCCGAAAACCCTTTCCCTGCGCTGGCGTCTCCCCTACCCCCTGTTAGTTGCTTCTTCCTGGCGCAACCCTAAAACCTTCACCCGAAATTCGTAAAAACCACCTCCCCCATCATATTAATCCCCCAACCGCCCCTTCCGCTATGGTTCCGATGGCTTGTTATATGACTGGTTGAGACCATTATGAGCGAATTAATTATAAAGGTTGAATTATTTAAAAATAATTTAATGGGATGATTTTTAGTGGACGCTCCATAGGTGGGATTATTCCAGACAATTTTTCCTTTATACTCCTTCCGTCCCCTTTTGATAGTCCCTTACGGACATTTTTCACGGGAACTAATAAACACAAATAAGAACAGTAAAAGTACATTGAAAAAGTAAATTGACATTGGGTATGGAAAAAAGTAGAGAGTGAAAGTAATAAAAGTACATGGGAAAACAAAATTTACATGGAAAATACAAATTTGCACAAGTATTGTTGCAAATTGAAGGGAATTTTTGGTAAAAAATTAATATAATGGTTGTTGGAAAAAGCAAATGGGATAAACATTTTGGGACTAAAATTTGCCCATAAGGAATTATCAAGGGGACGGAGGGAGTATTTAAACTGAAAAAATGATCCTTATGGCCAAAATCTAATCCCAAAATTATCATCCTATTTGTATTAAATACTCTCTAATTTGCAACATTATTTGTGCAAAATTAGCTTCTTCAAGTTATTTTTGATTTTCCATGTATTTTTATTACTTTATCTCTTTACCTTTTTTGCAAACCCCATATGAATTTCTATTTTCAAATGTATTTTTTCTACCTCTTTTTTCACTTTCTTAATTCTCGTGAATTGAGGGCATGCTTGGATTGAGGGAGATGTATTACTAAGGTAATAAAAGTCAAACTAAGCAAAATGAAAGTGAATATAGGAAAGGAGGAGATAGTAATACTGTGATTGCAAGTAAAATTATGTAACGATGTGTAGTATGAGGTAAAGAAAGAGGAACTATTATCCTCATTTTGAGCGTAATTGTTACACTACGAAGAGGGTGGGTAACTATTAGCCTCGTTATGAGGATAATAATTCCTTCCTCCCTATATTTTCGCTATGGCACAATTATCATATTTTATTTGTAAACACCTTGTGTCTCCTACAACACTATCTCTAAACATTTATGTTTTTTCCAAATTTGACTTTTATTATCTTCTTAATATATTACTCTCAATTCAAACATGCCTTAAGAGTTATTCTTTCTGGGTAGATGGAGTATAAAGACATAGTTTAATCCCTTAATGAAAATCTAATAATCATTGCTTACTTGAAATTAAACAGAAACATACATAACCACTTCTTTTTCAACTATGTAAATAATCAGTAAACTGATTTTAGATAAACCAATTTACTTAAAAACTTGTGCTAATCAAAATCAGAAATAAAAGTTATAGCAAATTACTTGAGAAATGTTATTGCAACTGTCCAAAATAAGCCAAGAATTGTACCATACTAACAATTCTAACTTTGTTCATAACAGTTGGCTTTAACATCCACAAAACATAATCAATTACACAAAATAACTAGCTCTTCATTCATAATCGAGGCATCGAGCTGCATGTTCTCCTCATCTTCCTCCTCGTCCTCAGTCTCCAACAAATCTCCATTACCAGAACTACCATCATCGCTATCATCATCAGACCTCGAAACGTCTTCCTCATCCTCCTCGCTCTGGCGTTCATCATCCACCTCATCAGCATTACGACCATTATTGGTGTTAACCCTAGCCCTCCTAGCAGCTTCATCTTCCTCCTGTTTTCTTTTAAAGTTTATTATCGCCTCATCGACATGGTCTAATTGGCGCTGGAGATCAATCAAGCGATTGTCCAACTCCAACCGCATATCAATGAGTGCTGACAGTTGGCCCATCAGAAAAGCACGCTTCATTTCCAGGGTTTTTCGGGTTGAAGAGGCGTCATTGTTGCCGGACATTTTACAAGTAAATAAAATTGTAGACAGGGAAGATGAACAGAGCAATTTCAACGAGAGTGATTAGATTGTGTGAAATGTGAAAGGGTGCATAGATTTTTATAGAGAAATAAATCAGATTCATTATTAGTTTTGCATTGGGAAGGTACAGTTTACGTACATCAAGATACCATTTTGCATTTACATTGTCAAATGTGCCAAAGCTTTACACGGAGTACACAACTTAAGAGTTTCTATAAATTTATACCGTCCTTCTCCCTACACTTTCTCACTCCTCCATATTACTAATACCACAATACAATATACTCCCTCCGCCCTCTTTTATTAGTTCCTTATGGGTATTTTTTACGAGAATTAATAAACACAAATAAGAATAGTGAAAGTACATTGAAAAAGTGATTGATATTGGGTATGTAAAAAGTAGAGAGAGAAAGTAATAAAAGTACATGGGAAAATAAAATTTACATGAAAAATTTAAATTTACACAAGTATTGTAGCAGATTGGAGGGAATTTCGGTAAAAAATTAATATTAATGGTTGTTGAAAAAAACAAATGGAGTGAATATTTTGGGACTATAACTTGCCCATAAGGGACTATCAAAATAGGACGGAGGGAGTACGAAATATTTTCTCCAAAAATCACCCCATCCATAGTACTCGTATAAAGTTTACCACCACACTTTCTCTCTCTTACATGTATTAATTACACAATTAATTTAATTATAATTATATTTTATTTTATTATTGAAAATAACTACTCCCTCTGTCCCCTTTTTACATTCATGTTTATAAAATTACACGGGAATTGAGGAATTAAGAATTGAACAAATAACAATAAAACACACAATGGGAAGTACAAAACATTAAATGATGTCTTTGAGTAAAATAAAGATAGATTAATTTTTAATGATGTCATGTCATCAATCCTTTGGAAAAAAAAAGGATCAATAATATGCTCTTATTGGAAAATTAAGAACCAATCATATTCATCTAAATTTAGGCACAAGAATTAATGAAGGAGAAGTAAGAAAATAAGAGTGAGCATTAATTACAAAACAAAAAAGGGGGATAATTAAGGATATTTGGAAAAAAAAATACTTACTAAAAAAGGAAAGGAGGAATGTAATTTTGGAATACCCAAAAAGGAAAGTAGGAATGTAAAAAAAGGACGAGGGGAGTAATTAATATTTGTAAAGTTAATTTAATAAAATATGGAATTTAGGTAGTAAAAAGCGAATTCGAAAAAATATGTTGTCTCCATCCCTTAATACAAAGTCTCTTTCTAGCATTTATTACTCACATAATACTAAAAAAAAAAGACTTTTAATTTAAGGACGGAGGAACAGAGTATAAAACTATAATATGGGTGTCTATGTGTACAAAACTATATCAATATGGGTGTCTATATGTATGTCTTGAAAAATTATTAACAGTGATAATTTTTTCATAATTATTTACTTTATGGCGTGACCTGGTTGGTTCATGTTACACGGGGATCAAAGCAAATGTTTACCATGGAATGGTATATACCATCAAATGGTATAGTTTTATACCATCAATGTAGTAAAAATTTGTAGGTTTTTGATGAGTTTTTATTATACCACGAGTATTGATGTTGTAGTACTTCCTCCGTTTTATATAAGTGTCCTTACCAGCAATCGGCACACTTGCTAATGTAACGTAAAATGTTGACTATTGACATCTTTAATTATTAATACTCCCTCCGTGTTTAATAAGTACTCCACTTACCAAATCTGGCCGTTTTTTAATAAGTGTTACACTTTCTTTTTTGGCCAAAAACTACATTAAAATATTATATCTCTCTTCTCTTATAGTCCCATCCCAAACCCACTACTACTTTTTTTTTTATTATATATTTCCTCTCACATTCATTACTTTTCAATAAACTATTAACCACACTAACTTTCTTTTACAAATTTTTAATACTCCAACTATCCCACTTACCTCTTATTTTATTTAAATCAATTAAATTGCTTAAAACTATGTGTCGGTCAAACTATAACACTTAAAAAAACACAAAGGGAGTAAGTATAAATTATTAAAAGTTAATTTTTGAAAACTATGCTTTAAGACGATTTCAACAAGTACTTATTA